TTGTGTTCCCCCTGGGATCCCCCCTAAACCCCCCCAAATCCCCTCGGAGACCCCCCAAACCCCCTCGGAGACCCCTGCCCAGACTCACAGAGACCCCGGGCCGTGCCCAGGTGCAGATGAGCCCCTCCTGGCAGGCTGTCACGATACAATCCTCCAGGAACAGCAGCACCGTCAGCCTCTCCTGGGCGATTTTCTTGCACACCAGCGGCTCCAGCAGGGGCACCTCGTGCAGCCGCGGGCACAGCGCCGTCCCCAACACCTTGGCCATGTCCAGAGACCCCCGCGAAGCCCCCGGCCCAGCGCCGGGGGTGGGTTTCTCGGCGTTGCCCCCTCCCCGGCTGATGTTGCCCAGGCTGTGGTAACGTTTGTGCTCCTTCTCGGGGACCCCGCGGGGGTCCCGAAGGGTCAGCGTGGCGAAACGCCCCACGCTCAGCACCGGGGGGACCCGCGGAGAGATTTGGGGACCCCCGCCCGGTTGGGGGAGGCTGTTGGAGCGGGACAAGGAGCGCGGCAGCCCCGGCACGGAAGGCGGGGGATCCCCGGGAGCGGCGGCGGGGCGGGCGCGGGGAGGGGGCGGCCGGGGGTCCAGCACGTCCTCGGTCAGATCCCACAGGCAGAACTGCGTGTCCTGGCCGGCAGAACCGAACCGGTAGGTGACGCTCGGGGGGTCCTCGGGGGGGTCGCCGCCGTCCCGGTGCCCATCGGGAGGCGTCGGCGGCGTGGGCGCGGTGGTGAAAGGATCGAAAGCCACGGCGTTAACCCACGACTTGTGGCCGTGACCGCGGGCCACCACGCGTCCCTCGGCGAACGACCACACGGTGACCAGGTCGTCCTCGCCTCCGGTGACCACGTAACGACCGTCGGGGCTCCAACAGACGCAGAGAAGCCCCCCGAAATAGCTCCTCATCATACCCTGCAGCAGCATGGAGGAGAAGTGGAAGACCCTGAGCACGCCGTCCTGGCTGACGCACGCCAGCGAGCGCCCGTCCGGCGAGAAGGCGAACTCGTTGAGCGGCCCCGAGCCCACGGCCCACTTGAGGAGGGGGTTCCGGGGGGTTTTGCTCTTGCAGGAGAAGACCCTGAAGCCCTCGCCCTGAGTGAGCAGGGTGTACTGAGGGCTGGTGGCGCCGCAGGGTTGTTCCGAGTCGTACAGGTACAGGTGGCCGCTGGCGTGGGACGCCAGGAACAGGCGCTCGGTGTCCGGCAGCCACTTGACCAAGGTGACCTTGGATTTGTCGATGAGGCGCTGTGGGACGGGGGGGGAAGGGTTAAAAGGGTGGTGGTGGGGGGGTTTGAGGGGGTTGGGGTGGTCCTGGGGAGGGTCGGGGGGTCCCATGGGGGATCCTGAGGGGTTCCTGGTGGTCCCAAGGGGGATCCTGAGAGGTTCCTGGTGGCCCTGGTGGTCCCATGGGGGATCTTGAGGGGTCCTGGTGGCCTTGGTGGTCTCATGGGGGATCCTGAGGGGTTCCTGGTGGTCCTGGGGAGGGTCTGGTGGTCCCATGGGGGATCCTGAGAGGTTCCTGGTGGTCCCATGGGGGATCCTGAGGGGATCCTGGGGGGTTGCTGGTGGTCCTGGGGAGGGTCTGGTGGTCCCATGGGGGATCCTGAGGGGTTCCTGAGGGGGTTGTGGTGGTCCCAAGGGGGATCCTGAGAGGTTCCTGGTGGTCCCATGGGGGATCTTGAGGGGGTTGTGGTGGTCCTGGAGGGGTCCTGGTGGTCCCATGGGTGATCCCAAGGGGTTCCTGGTGGTCCCAAGGGGTTTCTGGTGGCCCTGGGAAGGTCCTGGTGCTCCCAGGGGGCTCCCAAGGGTTCCTGGTGGCCCTGGGGAGGTTCTGGTGGCCCTGGGGAGGTCGGGCTGGTCCCATGGGTGATCCCAAGGGATTCCTGGTGGTCCCAAGGGATTCCTGGTGGCCCTGGGGAGGTTCTGGTGGCCCTGGGGAGGTCGGGCTGGTCCCATGGGTGATCCCAAGGGATTCCTGGTGGTCCCAAGGGATTCCTGGTGGCCCTGGGGAGGTTCTGGTGGCCCTGGGGAGGTCGGGCTGGTCCCATGGGTGATCCCAAGGGATTCCTGGTGGTCCCAAGGGATTCCTGGTGGCCCTGGGGAGGTTCTGGTGGCCCTGGGGAGGTCGGGCTGGTCCCATGGGTGATCCCAAGGGATTCCTGGTGGTCCCAAGGGATTCCTGGTGGCCCTGGGGAGGTTCTGGTGGCCCTGGGGAGGTCGGGCTGGTCCCATGGGTGATCCCAAGGGATTCCTGGTGGTCCCAAGGGATTCCTGGTGGCCCTGGGGAGGTTCTGGTGGCCCTGGGGAGGTCGGGCTGGTCCCATGGGTGATCCCAAGGGATTCCTGGTGGTCCCAAGGGATTCCTGGTGGCCCTGGGGAGGTTCTGGTGGCCCTGGGGAGGTCGGGCTGGTCCCATGGGTGATCCCAAGGGATTCCTGGTGGTCCCAAGGGATTCCTGGTGGCCCTGGGGAGGTTCTGGTGGCCCTGGGGAGGTCGGGCTGGTCCCATGGGTGATCCCAAGGGATTCCTGGTGGTCCCAAGGGATTCCTGGTGGCCCTGGGGAGGTTCTGGTGGCCCTGGGGAGGTCGGGCTGGTCCCATGGGTGATCCCAAGGGATTCCTGGTGGTCCCAAGGGATTCCTGGTGGCCCTGGGGAGGTTCTGGTGGCCCTGGGGAGGTCGGGCTGGTCCCATGGGTGATCCCAAGGGATTCCTGGTGGTCCCAAGGGATTCCTGGTGGCCCTGGGGAGGTTCTGGTGGCCCTGGGGAGGTCGGGCTGGTCCCATGGGTGATCCCAAGGGATTCCTGGTGGTCCCAAGGGATTCCTGGTGGCCCTGGGGAGGTTCTGGTGGCCCTGGGGAGGTCGGGCTGGTCCCATGGGTGATCCCAAGGGATTCCAGGGGGCTCCCAAGGGTTCCTGGTGGCCCTGGGGAGGTTCTGGTGGCCCTGGGGAGGTCGGGCTGGTCCCATGGGTGATCCCAAGGGATTCCTGGTGGTCCCAAGGGATTCCTGGTGGCCCTGGGGAGGTTCTGGTGGCCCTGGGGGGGTCCTGCAGGTCCCACGGGGCTCCTAAGAGTTCCTGGTGGCCCTGGTGGTCCCATGGGTGATCCCAAGAGGTTCTGGTGGCCCAGGGGAGGTGGGGCTGCTCCCAGGGGGCTCCCCAGGGTTCCCGGTGTCCCCCCGGTGTCCCCTCACCTCCTCGTTGAAGAGGCGGCCGGCGCTGTCCTTCTTGGCCAGGTCCAGGTACTGCACCTGGCCGGCCGAGAAGCCCACGAGCAGCGGCAGCGTCTCGGCGCCCGCCGTGAACTGGTTGAAGTCGTGGCACGTGGGCTGCGTGCCCTTGTAGACGCGCTTGTCGATGGGCCGCTGCAGGTCCAGCGCCTGGGGACACGGGGACAGCGCCGCTGGCACCGCCGCGGTGGCACCGGCACGGTGGCACCGGCAAGGTGGCACCAGCAGGGTGGCATTGTCGCTGTCACTGTCAGGGGATGTCACCCCCGGTGCTCCCCGTGTGCCCACCCCGGGTCACCACTGGGGCTGTCAGGAGGGTCCTGGGGTCACTGTCACTCGTGGGGTGGCACTGGCACTGGCACGGTGGCACTGGCACCAGCAGGGTGGCATTGTCGCTGTCACTGTCAGGGGATGTCACCCCCGGTGCTCCCCGTGTGCCCACCCCGGGTCACCACTGGGGCTGTCAGGAGGGTCCTGGGGTCGTTGGCATTGTCACTGTCACTCGTGGGGTGGCACTGGCACTGGCAGCAGCAGGGTGGCACTGTCGCTGTCACTGTCAGGAGATGTCACCCCCGGCGCTCCTCAAGGACTCTGTGCCCACCCCGGGTCACCACTGGGGCTGTCAGGAGGGTCCTGGGGTCACTGTCACTCGTGGGGTGGCACTGGCACGGTGGCACTGGCAGCAGCAGGGTGGCACTGTCGCTGTCACTGTCACTGTCAGGGGATGTCACCCCCGGTGCTCCCCGTGTGCCCACCCCGGGTCACCACTGGGGCTGTCAGGAGGGTCCTGGGGTCACTGGCATTGTCACTGTCACTCGTGGGGTGGCACTGGCACTGGCACGGTGGCACTGGCAGCAGCAGGGTGGCACTGGCAGCAGCAGGGTGGCACTGTCGCCGTCACTATCGCTGTCAGGGGATGTCACCCCCGGTGCTCCCCGTGTGCCCACCCCGGGTCACCACTGGGGCTGTCAGGAGGGTCCTGGGGGGTCTTGGGTCACTGTCACCCACCCTGGGGTCACTGTCACTGTCCCTGGGGTCACTGTCACCCACCCTGGGGTCACTGTCACTGTCCCTGGGGTCACTGTCACCCACCCTGGGGTCACTGTCACTGTGTCACTGTCACCAACCCTGGGTCACTGTCACTGTGTCACTGTCACCCACCCTGGGGTCACCTTTGCCTCCCACTCCCCCCGTTAATCGGCGGCGGGGCCCAGCAGGCGGTAGGAGCCCTCGCGGGTGCGGAAGCGGCTCTTGAGCTCCGGAGCGGCCGCGGGAGGCTCGGCCGGGCCCGGGCCCGCCGCCGCCGCCGCCGCCGCCATGGCCGCCGGAAGCCGCCTCAGGAGCGGGCGGGAGCGGCCGCCGCCATCATGGCGGCGCTGAGTCAGCGAGGCCACGCCCACAGAGGTGGGAAGGGCCAATCAACGCGCGAGGAGGGAGGGGACACGCCCACTGAGGGGGCGGGAGAGGCCATATAAGGGATGGGCACGCCCATGAGTGGTAGAAACCACGCCCCTAGAGGAGTCCGCGCCCGTGAGTGGCGGAAACCACGCCCCAAAACAGAGACCACGCCCCTGAGGTGGGAAGGGCCAATCAACGCGCAAAGAGGGTAAGGACACGCCCAGTGAGAGGGGCGGGAGAGGCCATATAAGGGATGGGCACGCCCATGAGTGGTAGAAACCACGCCCCAGGACGTGGAGACCACGCCCCCAAGATAAACCACACCTGTAAGTGGCAGAAGCCACGCCCCTAAAAGAGAAACCACTCCCCAAAACACAGAGACCACGCCAAAAGACATGGAAACCACGCCCCCAAGGGAGACCACGCCCCCAAGATAAACCACACCTGTAAGTGGCAGAAGCCACGCCCCTAAAAGAGAAACCACTCCCCAAAACAGAGACCACGCCCCCAAGTGAGACCACGCCCCCAAACAACCCCACCGATGTGGCAGAAACCACACCCCAAAACACCAAAACCACGCCCCCCAACAAAAATCCCACCCCAAAACGGGGGAACACCACCCCCAAAATCGAGACCACGCCCCCAAAAGGGAACCATACCTGAGCGGTGAAACCACGCCCCCAAACGAGTAAACCACACCCCCAAACTATACAAACCTCCACCCCAAAATAAAAACCCCGCCCCAAACTCAGGCACGGCCCAAGCCACGCCCACCCAAAACACCTCCCCCTAATCTGCATCCCCAAACCCCACCCCCTTTGGGTCAAACCCCCACCCACCGTGAGGCCACGCCCCCATTTCCTTTTGGCCCCGCCCCCCAAAAAACCATCCGGGAGCCCCAAATCTCCTGCCAGGCCTTTATTGAGCCCCGCCCCCAGGGTTCTTTGGGGTGGGGGTCTCGGCGGGCTCCCCCCGTCCCCCTCAGCCCTCGGAGGGACCCTCGGGGACCCCCC